GTAGGAAATTGAAATAACAGAGATTGTTTGGGATTTACAGCAGTTCTAGAATAAAGTTATTGTCCAGATGAAGTTAGATTCCGTTGTAAAGATCATTATTTATTTACTTAGGAGCCACTTACACGACACCGTTTTAACTAAAAACAGAAAACTTTTAATGCGTTCTGGCCGTTCATTTGCACAACGACGTTGTGTGAGTTGTAGACTCAAAGAATGATTTATATCTAATACATTAATACATAATTAGAGATTATTAAACTAAATAAAGCTTGAGATGGGTGTGATGTTCACCTTCAGGGAATGCATGGTCCGTTTGTTGCACATGCCCCTTCAGTTCCATTTAAAATGTGAATCACACAGTTAAGTTCTTTAATGATTCATACTGTAGTGCACTGATTTCATCAGATCACTGTGGGAAAAAGTGCTGCCTAGGTTAACACTAGGACACAAAGGTATTTGTATCAGCACTTGCTTTTGTTAGGGTCCTGCTGTTATCTTTGGAACTAAACTCTGAGGTCTTTATGTAAAATGGGAGAGTCACAGAAAACAGATTTATCTTATTCTTCTTGAGAGAGTGATCCAACTGTGAGCGGCTGGTTCAGCTTTCAAGAGCCCCAGCCCCCTGCTGGCAGCCTGACTCTCCTGCAGAACCCCCCTATCGGAAGGGCTCGCAGCAGGCTTGACTTGTGTGTGATAAGCATTCTGCTGGTGTACCCAAACCCACTCAACAATCTGACAGTGATTTTAAAAAGACAGGAACATAAAGGAACATCACCCATGCCCACTTTTTCTCCAACGCACTGATTGTTTCACATAATCATTTATGATTTCAGTTGTGTGCACATACCAAAATGCTCATTAACACTTTAATGAATAAAAACAAAGTACAGCTGATATTTTAAACAGACTTTTTGTTTCCTCCCTTGCAAAATATTATTGTTTTATCTGTGTAGGTGGTCAGTGAACGGAATTGACAGTTACAGTTCTTTCAAAATCAAAAATTCATGGAACAGAGCAAGTGAAAAAAAAAACAGTGTTAAAAACTGTCTTCTTAGTACCAATTTGTGTATTTGTGCACAATTCTATGTCATTTAGTAGTATAGTGCGAGGAGTGCGTTTACACTAAAAACACAAATTTGAGCTGTCAGGAAAAGTTAGTTTCATGTCATTCGTCATTGCTTGGTTACGTTACATCTGTGAAAAAAAAGAGAAGAAGGTCCAGCTACAGTGCCACGTGGTAAGGCCCTGATATGCTTAAAACAAAATCTTGAACATTTTGTTTGGTCGGTCAAGGTCAGACGTTTGCACTTCAAAACCTGAAAACACCTCAGACCTGCTTTATAGTAGAAACTGAAGTTGTAATTCTGACTGAAAGAGACACTGACACTGTTTAATTTTTTTTATGTTTAAGGCTATACAGCTGCTTGCTTTAAGGCTTGTATAAAGTGCTATAAAAATAAACATAAAATGACTTGACTAGAGTGCCAACTTGCAGAGCTCATGCAAAGATTTCTTTATTAACTGGCATTTTCTTGTCATTTTTGTTGTGTTTATTTTGTTATTGAGAGGAAAACACGCAGAACATTCATCTAAACACCACTCCCTACAGCGTGGGCTGCATCGGGATGTTTGCTAACATTTTTTTACACAAGACCTACAGTATAAACCTCAGAAGAGTATGTATGTCAGAATGGAAATTCGTGCATGAACTTTGGGACACAAAATTATAGGCATATAATACACCCAAGTCGATGCATTATTATTTTCTTTTTGTATTAGTATTGTACTACTAATTTAATAATTTAAAAAGATAATAATCTTGATTTATTATATGTAGTTAAATAAACGCTTTAAGAATCCATACAACTGTTGCAGCAGATGATTATTGTTCTGTTGATGATAGCAAGGTTTGATCTTTGGCTGACCAATCAGTGGAAAGAGTTTCATTCCCAACCACAACCAACATTCAAGCTGTTTATTCATTTTCTACCCCTGACTGTAAAACGAAAAATCAAGCTAAATTATATTATTTTTTTTGTTTGTTTTTCTTAAAGAATTTTTCTCATTTTCTAATTTTTCTACTTTCCATATAAAAAAATGAACAAATGATACACTGATTCGTGGCTGATAACTGAATATTTATTTAACACAATAGCAATTTTTCGCTAGAAAGTGGAAAACGTTAGTCAAAATCAGATCAAAATCAGAAAACTGACAACTAAAACCAACTCTGACACCATCTTTATTTTTTAGTTTAACTGTCACAGAATGAAACGCACAGGATTGTTGGATATCAAAGGCAAAATTGATCAGATAAATGTATCTCAGGAGACAAGAAGTGAAGGTAACATTGGATTCAGAAATGCCTTGAGGCTTTCCTGCCTTTGAATGTGTCCTCTGAAGTCAGCATTGTTAAGCTGTAACTGCATTACAGCATTGCACTGTCACTGGCCAAACTGTGTTATTACAGGCCTTTACAATAAGTCGAAAAAATCTTCTTTTTTTGACATTGTTGATAATCTCAACTAATCATTTCATCCATAGCAACAACTAAGAGACTATACAAGATTTAAAAGCTTCTTTTTTTTTAAACAACAAAGGCAGGTACCTACTAAAAAAAAGTATTTTACAAATTTGGTCTTTCTGTTTTCTTAGATGGCTCTTTGGACTCAGTGAGTGTACTTGCCACCAAAGAAATGCTTTTTCTCCTTGATGAAGACCACCAATGGAGCAAGAGTCAACCTGAGGGCCAAATGAGCAGTGGGAAGGTGACCGTTCAGGAAACTCAGCCAATCAGTTGCCTCAGCTCCATTTATCTGTTCTCTTCCAATCCATGCCAGGTGGACTTAAAACTTTATGATGAGGTGTGTGCTCACGCATCTTTACATGTTTTCACTTGAGCCACTGAGAACTTAAAGGACAAATTTTTTTTTTTTTTTTTTTTTTACAATTAATTACCAGTTAATTGCCCTGTTAATTGTAATTAAATTATTATTATTTTTTTTTTTCACAGATGACCAAGAAAGAAAAGACATGGTCTTTACATGCTGAAGATGAAGGGCTGGTACAAGACCTGGTGGACTGGATCACAAATCAGTGGGAAAAAATGTTTGGCGTCAAACTGGCTACTATCAAGCAGTGACCTCTTGCCACAGTGTTAAAGAAAGCACATACCTAACAAAATGAAGACTCATGCCTCAATCGACCTGCTTTTAATCCATATTACTGTCTTTGTGTAAATGTGGGCTGTTTGTCTTTTTGTCTCCAAATTGCCCTAAAAAATTCCCTTTTTACCTGCTCTTGGTTGTGCAAATTGTACAGTAACAATGCTGCAATTCTGAGTGTCTTTTTGACTTTGTACAACAAAACACCAATACACCTTATAATACACAACTATGCATGCTTTAAGTTGATTTATTTTGAATTTTTTTAGATGGTTGGAATATGGAATTGACGGGGTTTTTGTTTCTCAGGGTGAAAAGCCTTTCATTGTACTCTCAGAAAGGTTCATAATTTGGTTATGCCTGTCACAGGATAATAACAGCTTTATTTGTGTGTTGGTGGTGTTAATGAAATGCTAGTTGTTAAGACATGTTGCTGAACTAAATACCATCTTACTCTTTGAAACATTCTGTTGTAGAAGTTTCTCAACTGCACATTGATTTTCTGCGATGAATCACTTGCAGAATTTTGTGTTGATTTGTTTTATAAGGAAACCGGGATACATGTATCTCATAAATGTAAAGTTTAACAATTGTTTTTGTTCTTGCCAAGTAACAAAATATTCTATTCCAGCACTTCTATAGAGCATGTAAAGAGAGCTAGTGACTACACTTTAAAACGTAATGGTCATGGGAAAGGAAACCTCAAATGGCTGTGAAGAGCCTGAAGAGAATATTTTATATAACCACATGCAGTTTTGTACCATGTCATTTGTGTCATTCAGATGTTTTGCACTTTTATTTCTTTATAATTGGTCTAAAATAATAGTGAAATGGCACATTGTTGTTAACAAAGTTGAAAGCATATTGTCAGTCAATTTAAAATGTATTTAATGTGTATTTATTTATATTTGTACTGGTCTCCAATAAGGAAACATGATAACTTTTATTTTTCTAAACATAATAAAGTGTTCAAATCTTATCCATCTTTTCATTGTGTCCTATCAATGGCTGAGAAATAAGGATACACAAATTGATTGTTGCACATAAGTTCCTAGGTTAAGTGGTGTATGCTATGACATTTTATAATATAGGTACAGTAAGTATTTTATCTTATGACATTTGTTTTTTTCATTCAGCACTCAGCAGACATATTTTATATAGAAACGGCTGCACAGAAATAATTGAGTTTGTTTTCTGGTTTATATAAGAACATGCAAAAATCCTTTGTAAATCTTGCATAGGCATGTCAAGCCTGTATGCTTAAAGTTAAGGTTGTGTGTCCCAAATGAGTATGCCTTTTAAATTCCAGTGAAATTCTGAATTGAGGTAACAAACAAGATACAGAACTGCATTGTGAATTTGAATTAAATGAAGTAGAATTAAATGTATAATTTTAACTAAAGAATGTTCATCAAGACCAACTTTTCAGACAGAGAGATGAGGCAAATAGTCACATCAGACAGACATGATGCTACATTATTTATTATGTACTATTTCATACATTTAATTAATTTAAACTTTATTTTGTAGTGAGAACACTTTATTACCTTTGATGGAATTGTATAGACTATATCAAGTTAATAAATTCCCCTTTCTCTCATTTCAATTCAACTTTCATGTGGTCAATTCTGTTAATTTTCCTCTAACAGTGATTTTTTTTTTAATCCTTACGAATTTTATGTTAGTATTATTTTTACAGTGGAGAGACTGAATGGGTTTTGTCGGGAAACAAATAAGTTCAGGTTTCACACTTTAAAGGCCTTAAGTGTGGGTGTAGTCAGAGGAGGTGAACTGCCTTGGATGGATGTTCACGTGGTGTGGGTTCCAAACAGTGTTTGGGTTAACCTGAAAAAAGTGGGTGGAAGTTAATTGAGATGCGAGTGTCACGCTGTGTCGGGTTATGGTTTAACGCACAAGCCTTGTTCAACAGCTGAGGGAAGGATAGCCACTAATCACTTGATAGTCGAAGGTATGAGAATGTTTTTGTTGTTTCTAAGTATGTGTATATATGGGCTGTGTATGTGACTTTTAAGGATTTAGAATTCATTCCATTGATTTAAAGTTGCCGTGTTGATAACTTTAAAGAAAGTTTTACCTTCTCACGTTGATTATACGCGGTAAATTCCGAACCTAGTAGGCTAACCATTGCCACACGAAACCGCAAATTTAATGAATGGTGTTTATTTTATTAATCATTAGATTATTGTAGTTTAGACATGAACTATGTTCTGAATGCATGGCTAGGTAAACTCCAACAAACGATAGCCTATTATTATTAATATTATACAATAATTTGTAGGCTAGTTACAGTATTTAGTTCATTAATGAACGTGTGGTTTGATGTGTTTTATTATTATTATTATTATTATTAATTAGCTATATTTTTTTCATTAAAAAAACAAAACAAAACAAAAACATCTGGTCTATCTGAATATTCCTAATACCTAATGTTATAATTTTAGCCTCCTTTAGACATTGAGTCACCATGGGCAATAGGCTATATTACTTGTCACCTACATTTTTCAAGTGTTTTTCAATATTGCACGTGTTAAGAGTAGCTAGTGTCAGTAGCAACTCTAGGTTTTTATTAATTTTAGTACTAAGTTTTTATTAGTTCACACCTTTTACCTCAAGTTAGAATAGTCAGACAGCTATCAATGATCATACCTCAGCTGAGATTAAAGTTTTTCTATTTTTGGGAATGTTAATGATAGTCTTTTCTGAAAAGACTGGGATGATGAGTGATAGTCAGTTATGAGATTATTGCAGCAAAGTAGCTGCTGTTTTTTTTTTTAATGGCATGTCTGTGCCCACAAGTGTACAGAAAAACCGAATCATCAATGATCATAGTATTATGCCAACATGCCTCTATATCAATGACACTCAGTGACTTCACTGGTTAAATAGTGGATTTTAAAGGGAATTGTCAGAGTACACAACTTTTCACAACACATTCGTCTAGCTATCTCTTGACCACAGAACCTCAGTCTTTATGTCAGATAATGACCTGCCATGACTTGTCCTTTGCTTTGAAGCTCCAATAGGGTGAGGTTGCAAATGTTGGCAGGCAAGAGAAGCTATTCAGTACAAGACATGACAAACATGAATTTAATGGTTTTCTAATGTTTGAAATACTGGCTTTTTATATACAATACATACATATATATATATATATATATATATATATATATATATATGGGTATATTTCATATTCAGTTATTATCATATGTGCAATGTTTATGTACATCAATCTGCATGTTCTTAAAATCTGGTGAATTTATTTATTTATTTATTTATTTTTAGTTACAATCAAATTTTCTGGCTAGTGTATTTGTAATCCTTTTAATAGAATTATTATTATTATTATTATTATTATTATTTTATTTGTTTATGTGCACTGAATATATATATATATATATATATATATATATATATAATTATTATTATTTTATTTTTTTTAACTGGATCAAAAAAAGTTGTTCTAAGGCAAGAACAGCGATTGTTCAAAATTCATGTATAACTTGGATGAAAGGTTTCGGTCCACTTCAAATGTTGACTGCTGTATTTCCCTTCGGCTGAACATAAACCCATTAATAGTGTGTGTGAACTTGTATAGTTTTCTTTGTGAGGATCAGTTTGTCTTTTGACCTGTTATTTAGCTAAAACTATTTTAGATTGCTTAAGTCATCTGCTACAGCAAGAAAATATGCTGATATTTTCTAGATCATGAATATTACATATTTTTACCATTTACGACTCTCGCGTTGCTCTCCGCCATTTCGAAGAAGTTAAAGTTTATCTCATCTCTGCAACTCGTGCATCAAAATATTCTACAAGTTACCCAGTGGAAAATACCACATGTGGGGGTGTTCATATGCATTTTCCACGTTGGCTTTTGGTATTTATTTACCATAATTACCATAGCACGTGAACGCACCATAAAAACTATCCTAGTGAGGAACGAGTAAAGTGGTGACCTTTTGGCTTTATTATTAAGAATAAGTTAGGGTTAGGGGCTAGTGATTGCATTGTATCAATGAATGTCCTCTCACAGATAGTCATACAAACGTATATGTGCATGCTTTTGTATTGAACACTGACACCTGCTGGTGCTCTGACTAGTATTTTATCATCAAATGAAGCACTTCATTATGTCCAAAAATGTAATGTGTTACAGTGTTAAACAGATGCAATTAATAACATGCATTGGTTATTGCAAGTTTTTTTTTTTTTTACTTTTATTACATGTCATCTACAAAACATTGTTTCTGATGGTTGTCCCAATTTAAATTTCTCTGATTCTACTACCTCCTATCTTCTGCAGATCTGACAGGTCTCCTGCGTTGGTGGCAACATGAGTTGGAGCTTCTTGACGCGCTTGCTTGATGAGATTTCCAATCATTCCACTTTTGTGGGAAAGATCTGGCTCACTCTCCTCATCATCTTCCGAATTGTCTTGACAGTGGTGGGCGGTGAGACTATCTATCAGGATGAACAGAGCAAGTTTGTGTGCAACACTTTACAGCCAGGTTGTGATAATGTATGCTATGATGCGTTTGCCCCTCTATCACACATTCGATTCTGGGTTTTTCAAATCATTATGATCACCACACCATCCATTATGTACCTCGGCTTTGCCATGCACAAAATTGCTCGAGTAGCTGATGACGAATACAGACCACATAAACGCAAACTGCTGTCTATGGTTCATCGTGGAGTGAGCCATGACTATGACGAGGTTGACCAGATGGGTGAGGAAGTTCCCATGATCTTGGAGGAAATTGAGCCATCTGAGAAGGATAGTAAAGCGGTATCTAAAGCCAAGTCTGCTGCTGAATCCGACATTCCAGCTACGAAACATGATGGCCGTCGTCGCATCAAGAGAGACGGTCTTATGAAAGTATATGTGTTACAATTAGTCTCTCGTGTTGCCTTTGAGATAGCCTTCCTTTTTGGCCAGTATGTTCTGTATGGTTTTGAAGTTGTACCATCATACATTTGCAATCGAAGCCCTTGCCCACACACGGTGGACTGCTTTATCTCACGTCCCACTGAAAAGACAATCTTCCTGATCATCATGTATGTTGTCAGTATACTCTGCCTTGTGCTGACGTTCCTGGAAATCCTTCATCTGGGAATTGGTGGCATAAGGGACGGTCTCCGCAGTAGATCAACTCAGAGGTTCCCCCTACATAGGCCATCAACATCCACCATCTGTCATCGCCTTGCCAATGCCCCACCGGGATATCAGGCTGCCCTGAAAAAGGACTCATCTGGTAAGCTTAAGGCTGAGTTCCTGGGAGACTCAGGACGGGAGTCACTGGGTGATGACAACTCTAGTCGTGACCTAGACCGTCTACGGAGACACCTGAAAATGGCGCAGCAACATCTGGACAAGGCATACCACTCTGATGAAGTAGGGCCTTCACATAGCAGCGGTCCAAACGCTAACAGCATTGCAGTTGAGCAAAACCGACTTAACCAAGCACAGGAGGCCTATGTCAGTGCTGAGGAGAAAGGTTTGTTTTGGGCTACACTTCATTCTTCCAAATCATTTCTTTTTTATTTTTTTAAATGAACTCCCACTAACTCTCCAAATCTGGGTAAAAATCAACCAGGGTGTGCACTGCCATGAACTAGCAAGCAAAATACATTAATTTCAAAAGGCTGCAAATTTTCTTGGCTTCGCCTATTTGATTTTCTGTGTGAGTTCATGACTGCACTATTGACAGTGGACCTATTCTTGCCCACAAATGTATACTGAAATATCGCTAATGTATCTACACTATTAAGGTGGTCGCTCAACGGAGAAGCAAAGCGCTGATGTAGGTATCGCACAATGGACTTGCACATTCTATTGTCCATTTGTGGTGGTCAACAATATTATGTTTAAAGGATTACTCCACTTTTTTGGAAATAGGCTCATTTTACAACTCCCTCAGAGTTAAACAGTTGAGTTTTACCGTTTTCAAACCATTCAGCCACTTTTCTGATATTTAGAAGAACATCTTGCCTTGTTCACACTACATGATTTTAAAACGTCGGGCTGAACTGTGCGGTTCACACTACATGACTTGTTCTCAGTGAAATCAGGAGTGTTCAAGTTGTTGAGCTGTTCACACCACACAACACAACGTGATTGATCCACAACAGGAGGAACTCACTACACGAGTTGACAACGCACTATATAGAGATACAACCACGATCGAATGAGAAGAGCAAATAATTTTTGTCTCTAATAGAGCCGTTTCAGTACTATACGGTCTACATCCGGAAAATAATCAAATAAATAACGAATTGACAACAACTCTGTCACCCAACGATTTTATCTTGTCTACAAACCACGTTTTGTCACGAAAAACCACGCAATAAAATGAACCATAAATGACGTGAAACAGCACGTGCGCCAATACCCAGCGAAGAAGAGAACACAACACACGAATATGGACGTTAGACAGAAACTAGTGCTGCACACTGTTTGCGTGATGAGGAAAAAATGCAAAAAAAAAAAAAAAATAGAAAAACTAAGATTTACCTGGTGTCCTCAACCCATGCATTGCTATGATTGGCTGTACTCATGACATCACTGAGGCTAGATATTTTTCTGAGCTCGGCGACGCATCTGCGAGGCGTCTGCGAGCGTTTTCGCTGCGTTGTTGGCTCTTTCATACTAACAGATTGGCAAGCGTTCATCATCCACTAAACCCCCTCGATTTGCTCGCGATAACACCCTGACCTATCGGCGAGCTCAACGATTTGCAAATCGGGCATAAATCGGGCTTAAAATCCTGTGTGAACTTGGCTTAACCAGACAGTTTCTGATCTCATTGACTACCATAGTATATTTTTTTTCCTACTATGGAAGTCAATGAGACCAGAAACGGTCTGGTTACTGATATTCTTCTAAATATCAGAAAATTGGCTGAATTGATTTGAAAACGATAAAACGCAACTCTTTAACTCTGAGGGAGTTGTCAAATTTCCAAAAAAAGTTGAGTGTCCCTTTAAGGACTTTATGATAACAACCAGTTCTGGCATGAAACTCTAGATGGTGTAGGCTGATAGGTCCTTAATTCAAATCTACATAGCTGATTGGTTGCTGTTGCATCAGTGGGCAAAGAGCTGTTGAGTAGGGTTGGGTATTGGTTGGGTTTTATCTGATACCAGTACCTACTCTGTATTTTTTAAACGGTTCTTGAAACGGTACTTAAGAAAATGAAACCGCACACACGGTCAAAAAATAATAATAATACCCTTTATGTACAGGACCAAACTGGACACAATATTAACTTAAATCTTTAAACAATATAAATACAAGTTACATGGTAATAATAAATAAACCAATAAAAAATAAAAAATAATATTTACATAATATCAAATAAAACAATATTGTATTAAACAATGTAATAATGCTGGAGATTAATAGAGATTACTACCAGGGTAATCTATTATCGACTGGCTACATGTTTTGTCTGCTTGAGCCAGTAATGTAAGTTATCTGGTCGTTGTACTAGTTACGCAGCACTTAGCGAGTTTGGTATTTCGTTCCCACTGCGTCTTAGCTACGCAGCTTTGAGTAAACCTATGAAAGAGAACGTCTCTGGTTACTGGTATAACCCATGTTCTCTGAATAGGGAACAAGACGCTGCCAAACTCCTGGCGCTGTCGACAAGCTTCCTTTTTTGGCAGAGAAATCTGAGGAGCAGATGATGCACACGCTAATATAATAGGACTACGTAAGAGCGTCAAGGCGGTACCCGCACCATCATCCAATGGATTGGCGTGACTCTATATGATGTTTTATTAACAAAGTTCGGAAGAAGCACGTTCAGATAATTAACACGGGTGGAGAGCACTCATACATCATATACATTTTAATCATGATTGCTATGTAGTTCTATATGTAGTTCCAATCTTCTAGTTCTAAACCACTTTACATACAGGGGGGAGTACTCTGGGTTCGGGCCTAATTTGCATGAGACTTTGCGTGTGTACGCTTCATGACATAAAGACTCAGGCACCGAAATGTTCGTTCTTATTCGGTCTGGTTACTAGTGTTTACATCAGAGCCGGTTCCCTATTGGCACCGTGTTTTGAAACCCAACCCTACGGTTGAGCCAATGTTTTCATTAGCTCTGCTGACGTGTCCAGTTGATTTGATGCAGTATGAGAGCATGCCGTCTTTCGATATCGCCTCAACAGCTTCTCACTTATCAATTAGGTTATGTCAATGATACATCAAATGATTTAATATGATACTTGATCAGGTGGTTGTTGTGTTTTTATCTCTATCAGCTTGCTATTTATATCTATTGTTAATGAGAACATACAGGGCGCATTTGTAGAGTTAAGCCATTCGGCATGGTAGCCCAGGCACACATAGTCATAGGCCACTACTGTGAAGACATTCGGCAAGGTACCCCAGGCACACATAGATATTAAAAACATGTGGTCTCATGGCTCTTAAAAGAAAACAAAAATCTTGGTGTAGCAGATCTATTCTGCCAAGAAACAAATACATTAACATTGTTATATCCATTACCATGCCAGTGTCTCAGAGAGTTGTCGACAGAATTAAGATAATGTCTGTATTGTACGCTATGTTATAGAATTGTAGGTTAGATGCAATTGAATACGAACGTTGCTTACCTCAGTCACTGAACATTATACTGAATTACTGAATTATTTGGGAATCTCGTCCGAAAAACCATTAACCAGTAACATCAGCAATCTTCCTCCAAGCAGCTGATTTCCGTATTTTGTATTTTGTCGTAGAATATGTGGTACGTGGCATATAATTCAAGGTATTTCCCAACTTCTTTGAGTTTTTCATTGTCCTTTTTAATATCTTTATGCTACTCCAGGGATGGGCAATGTCAGTTGACCTGCAGAGTTTATCTCCAACCCTAATCAAACACGCCTGAACAAGCTAATCAATGTCTTTAAGATTACTAATGCTGCGTTCCAGGCAGTGACTTCAAATCACGACTCATGACTTTGTAGTATTCCAGGCCAGTCACGCCAAACTATCTGTGCAAGGAATTGAGGTAGCTAACTTAGATAAGCAAACCAGCATGGTGGACCTTACGGGGCTTATGCGCATTTATAATAATTTCGGTCGCCAAAGGTGCTTACTCCTTGTTTATTTGAGGGAAACTCAGGAGAAAAAACGGCACATAAGGCAAGATAAGCTGTTATACCTTTTATTTGACTTTCTTTGTATATTTGGAAATTTATTTGGTATTAATTTATCCTTGCACTCAATGGACTGAAAACTACTTATCATATTGTCCTAAAGTGTATTCTCACCGTGTACCATCTGCAGAAACACTGCAACCGTAGGGGCGGCCATTGTTGTTTTGTATGGTTTCGCAAGCTATGTGACATCAGAGCCCGTAACTGGGAGTACATCGATCTAGTACGAGTTCACGGGTGGGAAGTCACGGGTTTGACTGCCGTTCCAGGCCGTTAATATATCAGGGCAGGAGCTAAACTCTTCAGGACAGCGGGACTCCAGGACTGAATTTGCCCAATTTGCCTGAATTTGCCCCTGAGCTACACTCGGGTGTCTTGTCACCTGGTACCTACAGTAGGTGACAGCACACGACAGTGAATGTTACCACGACAGGCAAAAGTTACATATGCTTTTGCACTCAGGTTAGTGTAAAAAAAAAAGGGCACAAAAGGGCAAAATTAAAGATTATAAAGGGCTACGTTTATGTAAGCAATAAGGTACGAGAGGCTGTGCTGTAGGCTATCGTGAATAAGTCACGGCTGAAAGGGGGTTGTTAGGCACGATGCGAAGCGGGCCCCTTCAGCGGTAACTTATTCACGATACAGCTCTAGTCTTGAATATCTTATTGCTTTTATGAAACGGTTACCACGCAATACAAATATTAGCCGAAAAATATGTTTCTGTGCAACTTTCATGAAGTAAAATCACTAAAAGCCGCCCTTCTTCCGGAAAAAAATACTCCCTGACCGTAAACCGCAAAAGGAGTTGCATACATTTCTTTAACCAATAGATGGAGACAAAGACTGTCTTAATGAGTCAGTCAGTCAGTATCTTGCAGTACAGAGTGAAGTCTGTAGCCTATGTACATTAGTGGTGGTTTGGGAAAAATATATCATTTAATTGAATTAAAAAAATGTTAGTTGTGCTCTTTGTAGTGGCAGGATTTTGAACAGCCTCCTGAGTAGCATCGCTGCACTACGGACAGATATATGGCACTGCCGGTGTGTCTGCACTCATAGAAAATAATTTGTTCAATTTAAAACACGTGGTGCTAAGAGGCGCTTCACTTAGAAGTTGGTGAATTTTTTTTTTGACGGGTTGTTATTCACTTTGTGTTAATGCTCTTTTATTTTTATGGTTTTCACAAACAATGATTGACTGTCGTCATAAAACTTAATGTGATTCAGTAATTCATAATCCGATTTTATAATAAAAATATTTAAATCTGATATTTTTGTTTTGGATAGTAAAAGTTCTGAATGTGCAATAACTCAGTGTATAATAGCCTGGTGAGTAAAAGTTCATTTCAAACCCTGTACATAAGAAATGGATAATTATTTCTAGTGAATGTCATCAGAAATTGCCATTTTCTAATGTGATTTCTTCATGTGCCTTGTTGCAATCTTTTTTGATAATTGGTGGATATGTAATAAAATGTAATTTCTTTTTCTGTTTTTAAAGAGGCTCGTGCTTGAAGCATGTTTTCCTGTTCAGCTGGCTCTCCGTCAAAAACACACCAACTGCTGAGATGCACATTTTGGAGGGCAGTCAGTGACCAGATTTTGTGTTTTTCCTGTTCTTCTGACTCATTAAATGGATTAACTCAAGAATGAGATGCAAATAATGGAGAGCATTTATTGATAACATTTTGTGTGTTCTCCTTTAATTGTACATTAGAAATTGTTATTTACAGTATTAAACATAGCTGCCACATATAATGACAAGAAAAACACCAGTTCATAAAATGCACACTTACTGTACTATTATCTTCCCAGCAATATTTGCTCAAATGGTTTTATAAAAACAGCACAAGAAAAAGATACATTCCCTGACTGTAATGTCGAAGATATTTTCATGATTGTTAATTATTGTCCATTTCATCAAATCGGTATAGATTGAAGCCAAAAACAAGTCTTTCTGTTCAGATTATTACAATGAAAGATAGATATATCATTGTCTTTAAAAAAAGGTGGCTATGTTGTTTTTGGTTAAAGTCTGCCTGTGTTCTGATATTTTGTTACATTATCCTGAATTTAAATGTCTTAAGTCATGGGAGGGTGCTTTACAAACAGAACTGACGTTGTATTTAGAACATTATAAATTGACTTCAATACATGTACATTTGACCAGATTGTAAAACTACAAAGAACCTGGGAAATGCTTGAATTGTTTATTAAAAGGTTTCATGCTTTGTGTTTGTGACTGTGGTTTACATAGGTTGTTTTTTTTAACTGGATTTCAGATTGTGCAATGACATGATATATATGCACACTATTTGTGGATTTGTTGGTGATCCAAACAATATTTGTTACATCAAATTGTTACAAACCTGTTTGAATTTCTTTATTTTGCTAAACATAAAGAATGATTGTGTTAAATAATCTATTTTTTTTTTTTTTCCATATTATGGAAGTTAATGGGGCCCATCCAGTGTTTGGTTACCCATATTCTTCTAAATATATTTTATGTTCAGCAAAAGAAAGAAATGTTTTTAATGTTTGGGACAAATTATGACATTTTAATTCTTGGGTAACTCCCTTTAACTGACCTTTTTTTTATAGACCTTTTATTTAGAGTTTTAGACCTTTTATTTGGTTTTATAATACTAAATGAATAGTGTTTTGACAATATGTTTGAAATTATGTACACAAATGAGATGAAGACTCTTGTTTACTGTTTGATCAATTCTGTTTTCCTTCATTTGTAAGTGCATACCTTCTGCTGAATTAAAAAATATCAGAGGCCTTAAATTCCTGTTATTCTGTATTAATTGATTCCCTCTTATTTTGGCTGCCAGGTTGAGATTATAGCCATCAAATCCAAATTAGGGACGCATAACACTGTTTAATGCCTCTATAAATTACAGTAAGTGTCCTTCATTTCTTACAGTTTTTGCCCATTGCTTGAACACATTTTGCAAAATTTCACTCATTGTGCCAAAACTCTACACACAAGTAAACGTGACACAACACTGGGAAATATACCATTCGCATCTGTGTCAAATTGAAACTCTACAATCAAAACCTAACATTCCTTTGTCAAAATGTAACTCTGATGACAAAATGACACATACTTGCACCTTATGCTAACACTTTCAGATCAGAGGGAACACACTAGTCTACTTTATATAAAACACTGCAGTCTCTGATTTTGACTGTTTATTCAGAAGGCATATTTTCAGGAGGAACATTTTCAAACAACCAAAAAAGCAAACAGGCCTACTCAATATTGTACATTGCAGCACTATACATTGCAGTAAGATAAATTCAGATAAAGCAAAAAATGTATATATATATAATAATAATAATAAAAAAACACTTTATATATTTTACATACATTATGGAGAGCATCTAGAAATGTGAGTATATGTTGGCTATTGTGAGTATATGTTGGCACTTTCAGTAATGACTCAAGTGTTACTACATGATCTAGTCATGATTTGTGCAAATGTTTGAGATTTTTGGTGAACTTTAGTAACTTTTAGAAAATGTCTTTAGTAACACTTGAGTAATTACTAGTTAGTTCCAATGATCTTCACTTTATAATACGGATCCAAATAATTAGTAATTCCCACAGAAGTATCTAGTAACACTTTCATCTGTGAGCTATTACTTACTAATTCGTTATTAAGAGTATCTTTTAGTTAATAGTAGTTACTAGATTGTTAATAAACTTTTTCAGTAGTTCTCTGGGAAGTATTAAAAAAATAGTAGTTATTGATTACTTAATAGTGAACTACCACTTTCGTCTGTGCGCTATTACTTACTAGTTCGTTAATCAGAGTTTCTTGTTAGTTAATAATAGCTACTAGATTGTTAATATTGTGTTACTCATTAGTTCTTGTGTAGTTATTCATTAACGAAGGAACCGTATTCTAAAGTGTTACCCTGTTTTTTAAAAAAAATCTGGCCTGGTAGGTCAAAAGTGTTACTTTATTGAATTATTGTAGAGCCATTCTTTTTCACTGTGCCCTTGAGCAAACCTAAAATGCTTTATGGGACTATCCAAGTAGTTTGTAGCTTGTTTTGAAGCATCTGCTATATAACCCATTATGCTTTAATGGAGCCTTTCTCACCCTGGTCCTGGAAAACTGCATGCTAGACTTGAAGCAGTGCTGCGCAGATCCATCGGTGTATGACATCAAAGTACCGTGAGAACGATTGGAGAGATTTCTGTATGATTTCTACAATCTGACTTCTGACCTGTAAAGCTGCCTGAATTATAATCATTGTTCATTCATTGGCCAGAGGAGAACTCTATTTTCTGTTTTGTTCTTCAGGTAAAAATGAATAAAAAGAACTATATAAAAATGACACGTCTCTTTTTCAAATATGTATTCTTTATTGACATGTAACGTGCATTTTTTTAAAATCAGTGTACAAGGTTAAGATTCTTTATACTCTGCAAATGGCTGTTTAATTCAAGTATAGGTGTCTGCAGTACAGGAGTTACCAGATCAGGGGGTGAGGCCATAAACAGAGGGGCATTTATACCACGTTACCTGATTTGCCCACGCCACAGTGAGGGTGGGGTTTAGGGATGGGTTCGGGTAAAAGGATAAAAGGATAAAACACCCACCATTTTTATAAATGCCCACTTTTGTTCCGCAGAGACCCCATACTTGTTTAATTTACTCGCATAAAGAAATTTTTAAAAAGTCATAGAGCAATAATTTTTGTGTCAACAAAGTTGTCATGTTAATGAAGTTTAAAATTTGATAAAGTTAAAGTTACAAGTAGAGGTTATCTATCTACGGTATCTTCTTAATCCACAAAGCATTTAAAATAGCTGACTTGTGTTTGAAAAAACAACAAAATTCTCACACCTTACAGATAATCTTAAAGTTAACTCTTGAGTGTTAGATGCAGTTGCACTCTTCTGGTATGATGTTAGGCAGGGTCTCGTACTTGAATGAGTATCCTCCGTCTGAGGTGGTGGTGAAGCGGAGGGACTTCATGCTCTCTGGAACAGGGGCGCAGCACTGGTTGATCCCGAGTAGCGTGGTAGTGCGCTCAGTGCTGGAACAGTTGCCATGGCAGTAGTAAAATGTGAAAGCTTTAGGATGAACAATCCAGTTGTTCCAGCCAAGGTCCTCGAAGGAGATTTCGATCTGTATTTTTCTGCAATCTGCATCCTCAGAAGCAGGTCTCCTGAGATTTTCAATAGCAGCTGGTGACCAAGGGATTTTGGGTGCCCTGCGGGAGCGGTCAGGGCCGCTTGAGCGTGTGTGGAGGTGCAGAAAGGGTGTTTTGTCTTCTGAATCATAGCAACTGCAGGATGGGCAACGGACCTGCAGCATGAAAGGGCCATCAGCCATGGCAACGTGGAGATGGGGAGCTAACTTATAGGTGGTCCAGCCATCAGGGGAGCGTTTGATTGGACTGTCAGATGCTTGGAGCAGCTCCTGGTAATGAGTGAGAATGAAAAGGGGTGCTGAGATGTTGCTAGAAGCAATGGTCTCTCCAGCATAGAACCAGAAGTGGGCAGAGGTGATGACAGAGTCCTGGCTGTCCATAGAGGGCTGGAAATAGTAAGTAAAGTGATGGGAAGCAGCATCTGAGGAGTGGTCAGGCATATCCTTGCATGTAGACTCTGAAAAGTTAATAAGATAGGTCAGAATGTGTATTAAATGAAACAATGTCAACATTGCAAGATAACCCTGTTGCTATAAAATATAATTTAATGATTCCAGACAAAGAAAATCAGGTAACACTTTATTTGTTTAAGGGGTCATGGGGTGGATAATACTGACATGACATGTCTTGAATATGAAGTAGGGTTTATGCATGTTTATCACAACTGTCATAAAGTGTCTTTCGCTCAATAATGACATTTTGAATGCAAATATGACATTGTTTAAGATGTCTTTGTTATGACATCTTGACATAAACCAATACATCATAACCTATCAGTGTCTTTGTCATGTCAACTTGACATTAAATTAAGTTAAACTGTAATGTGGTTGGCTTTGACATTGGCTGTCATGAGGCCATTATAACTGTGTCATGAATATTTTCTGTGACCTCAACTACAGTGGTAAAAATTGAATTTGTCATTAAAAAGTTATAATGGCTTGACAGCCAATGTCAAAACCAACCACCTGACAGTTTAATGTAATGTTAACCAATAAAGCTAAGTGGTTTCTTAAGTTTGATAATTAATCTGCTATGTCATGTTTATCACAGGTTGTGTTCTCTTAGTAATGTCAAATTGTCATGACAAAGACCAACGCATTCTCACCCCAAGGCGTCACCTTTGACCATGCTTCAATATTTGACGTTTTAGGCGCCCTTTAGCGTCACTTACATGGCGCGATCCTACGGCGTCATCCAACTGACGCTAAAGGAAAGCGTCAGTTAGAGGACGCGGTTAGGTTTAGGTGTGGGGTGGGGGTAGGGTACACGCGATCCTAGGGCGTCATAACTGACGCTAAAGGGCGCCTAAAGCGTCAGATATTGAAGCATGTCCAAATGCTTCCCAAGGCGTCAGTTAGGTGACGCCTTGGGAGTGAGAATGGGCTGCAAAGACACTGATAGGTTATGATGTATTGGTTTACGTCAAGGTGTCTTAACAAAGACATCTCAAACAATGTCATATTTGCATTAAAATGTCATAACTGAGCGAATGACACTTAATGACAGTTGTCATAAACATGCATAAAACTTCCTTCATATTCATAACATTTTTCATGTCATTATGAAGGTGTCATGTTAGTCACACCCCTTCAAGTAAAGTGTTACCGATACAAGGATACATTTTTCAATAAATGTTGGTTTCATGTTTTTTAAAAGCTTTTATATA